TATTTGAAGCATAACTGTCATGGCAACTTTGTTCTGTCAGAATCAGCTTTATTGACCAAGCATGAACACATACAAAGAATTGGGCTGTTTTCTGTTTCTCTCAATGAACGCGCACACTAATACAGTAGACATAGAGCAGAACAAGAACAACAAAGCTTAACAATTCAAATCGGTTTTTCACAAATCAAAAAATTCACAACACTATATTATCGTTTCTTAAATTCCTTTAAAGTTATCATTATAAATGAGTCCTGACAGACATGGATGTAAAATGTGACTTGTTGGTGGAGGTGATAATTCTAGTTTTTACTGCCCTGTCACCTGTCACAGCATCATCAGCACATGTCCAGTGAATAGAGCTCAGCTCTTCGTCACAAGATTGACAGCTGTTGTGACAGCTGGCCTGATGCAGGAGGGGTGTGTGTGGTTGTGTGTAAGAGAGAGAGAGACTGAGAGACAGTGACTCATTGGCTCTGTATTAATGAGGTAATTCTAGGGCTTACTAATGCCAAAGGGAGTCCCTGCTTTATCACTCTGTGTGTGTGTGTGTGTGTGTGTGTGTGTGTGTGTGTGTGTGTGTGTGTTTGTGACTGCATGAACATAAGACACAAGGTGTGAGGCTTCATGTGTGTTTGTGTAGGTGTGTGTGGAGTTTTGCCTTTGCCCTGATATCCCTACTCTGTGTGGCTTCTCCATGGTAACGAGCTACTAAGCTGTACTGTTACTCAGATGTTTTTTCTTCTGCTGTGGAAAAGAGGTGACTGCCAAAGGGAAAGGAGTTATAACATTACCCCTAAAGGAAATGTTCATGATTTGTTGTTTTTGTTTCACTCAAGGATTGAGTTTAGGGCCTGGTCTGGCTGCTTCACACATTCCCAGTGATATTCCACCACTTGTAGCTAACAAAATATCCTTTGTTTGAATACATAGCATGGTGCGCTCTATATTGATCTCCTTTTACTTTCATCCTTAATGTGTCATAATACAGCTCCCTACAGTCTTGAGTATAGGTGCAAAATTGCATGTGTTAGACAGATAGCAGGGTACAGTAGAAGGGAAACTGTTCTTCATCTGCTTCACCAAGGCTCCAGTCTGTATCAGGTCAGCAAGTGAGTCTCTTCTTCTGAAGAAATGTGTGAACAGTCAAGGACTATCCTGTTGTTTATTCTTCACTCTGACTAGAGCACTTTATGCATCTAAAATTTTCTACCTGACTTGAAGGACCTGTTTCTGTCTAAATAAAATTAGAAAGTATTTGTTTCAAACAAAAGGCAAAACCTGAACCAAAATGGACCAGATAGCAACTGAACTTGAGTCCAGACAGTCCAAAATACACCTGAATCCAGAAAATGTGGGTAAAGCTCTCCACTTGCTAATGCACGGCCTTATGTTTGTTTTAAGAGTGGTTTCCTCTGTTACCTTATCTAGCTCATGGGAGAACCTCTCATTAAAAGTGAATTGGCTCCTTACAAGTTCCATTGGCTTGCTCGTTCACACATTATTCAATAGTGTGACATTCCTCTTTTGGAACAGTAACATTAATTTACCTGCTCTTGTGGCAGTAATGCTCAAAGGGTTCTTACAGATATGCATAAAACAGTCTGCAGTGAAACAGCCTCGGGCTAGCTGACGCTGACTAAAGTACCCAACACAACCCAAGAGCCAGGTCAGGGCCTCTGGTTTTTAGCTGGTCAGGTCTGCCTGAGACTTCTAATATATGGAATGATGCAGTTCACATCCACCTGCAAAATGCAACACAGTGTAATGGAGACAGATTTAGCAAATAAATCATATAGTAAACTGAAGCTTAAATAATGTTGAAGTTTGACTGTTGCTCTTTTTTGAATATGTCATCTTCTTGCGTTCCCTCTGCAATGGTTTAATTGCACCTGACTGCATTTTCTGTGGTGAATTTTCTCAAAATATGGTTAAAACATGATACATTTGGCTTGCCGATTTTGCATGCTTCATCCTATTGATGTAGAGTTTACACAGGCATGGAGACAGTAATGCGCTGGTCAGAGCTTTTAAATGGACTTTGCCTCCATCTTTATGGACTTACAAGGCAGGGTTCATTTTGTATCCACAATGTGCCTTGTTAAATTTAGCTCAGAATTAGCTACATGACATAGTGAGCAAAGGTGAACCCATTGAGACCAGTGAAATCATATCAAATGTGATAATTAAATCTATCAGAGCATTGTTAAATAACAGGTCTTTGGCAGGTCACGTGATACTTCCTTTAACTACAAATGGAGACTTAAAGTACAGGTTTTGATTACATTTTGACAAGAATAAAGAATATATTTATTTGCCTTTTATTTTGGCCTTGCCTCAGTGACTCACATTGGTTTAGTACACACCAGACTGTAAATGGAAATGACAGCACAATTCATTTCATATGGAAATGTGGGCTTGTGCACAATTCAGCCCAAGCGTGTTTTAGAACCTCCTCGCCAAGTCATGCTTTTTTTTAACATCTCCAACTCACTGGTCTTGTTGTCTCTTACTTAATTTCAGTTCAGTGGTGCTTTGTTGGCTTGACAAAATTTAGACGTCTGCATTGCCAAAGCGTGTTTAAGATATAAATAATCTGTCTCTCTTTCCCCTCCCTCCCTCTCTCCATCTACCCCTTTGTAAACCCCTGGCTGTAGGTGATGAAGTGTTTGGGTCTCAGGAGTTGAACTGCTGCCTGGTCCAGATGGCTCATTGTTGTATTTGTTGCCCAGCCCCTTTAATAGCACACTTTGGGCATTGACTAGTGTCACTAGTGCTGTTTTATAGCTCACAGCATGTATGTGTGCCACAGTGTGCTCTCTTTGTGCCCATATTTTTTGTGCTGCTGAGTTTCTGATCGCATTATGTTGATATTGTCTGGTGATAATGTGAACAGATGCAGTGTAACGATGGTGAAGAGAATACAGCAGTGTGCCTCCTGTCTTCTCTTAAAGCTGAGCAAGTCTAACTGTGCTTTCACAGTGGTAGTTCAGGCAGAATCCAGGAGCATTTCACCTAAGAAAAAATGGTGCTGCGATCACCTCTTCCATATGAACTGTGGCATCTCATGATGACATTTTCAGTGGCATTCTTGGCGAGAGAAAGAAGGCAAACGAAAGAGAAGGAAAAAGGCTGGGTGATTATAGGGCTGAAATAAGTTACATCTGTGTTTGAATCTGTCCATATGTGATTGAATCACCCAAGATGCATTTTGGTGCACCATGTGAATGGGGCCAGCATCTCTTTCTGTCTGCACTAAGCTAGCTATCACTTTCTCTCCTGCTGACAAACAGATTCTGGCTCTCGGTGATATTTTGGTTTCACTTTGGCTTCTTTTCCTCGCTGGCTCAGTTTTGTGTGTTTAGAGAAGGAGCCAGAGAGTGTGTGCAAGAGACTGTGTGTCAGAGAAAGGAACAAATGAGTAGTAGAACATTTTTACATACCTAGAATGACTCTAGAAAGTAAAAAGTTAACATTTAAATCATGACAGCTGCAGTCCCCTAATCTAAGATATGCACCACATTGTTTTGATTTTCAAATCCTGGCTGTAATTTTGCAAATGCCTGAGTTCAGTGGTTACAAAGAATACACCTTTTTAACAATTTTTTTTTTAATTATTAGGTGTGAGGTAATTGAATGTGATACATATGCTTACTACATTCTGGCAAACGGTGTGAGAGGAAGTCAGTAGAAGGATAAAATGAAAAGAAAATGCTGTGAGAAAGGTATGGTGTCAACAAGGGCAGCGGGTGGTACAGCCTGCAGCTAGACGAGGCTGAAATCTGAGACCTGCACAACCCCAGAGCCAGGCCGAGGGAGGGGGCAGAGAGAAAGAAACACAAGTGGGAGAAAGAGAGTGAGACAGACTGTCCATCGTGGAGAAAGACAGCAAAATATGCAGCCTCGAGGCATGTAAGGAAGTGTAGACGCAGAAAGGAAAATGGAGAGATACTGACATGATAGATGAAGGGGGGGGGTTAAAAATTTGTAAGAAGCAAGTTAAAGTCTGTGTGAAAGGGAAATAATGTGTTGCGGAGAAGAAGGGGTTATGTGTTTGGGTAGGCAGCTGCCAAGAAAGAAAGGGGAAGGGTGTGAGTGAGCATGCTCTGTTTGGAGAGACATTGGATGCCGGCTTAGCTTCTCTCTGTTTCGCTCAAACACACCCAGCAGCAGTGACACCTAGCACACTCCAGGGGACAGAGGGAGCATGGCTTGAATAAAGTAGCGAAGAGGAGAAAAAGTCGGGGGAGAGAGATTTTGTCTGGGACTTTCCCTTCTTTCACTCTCTTGCAAGCTACAGCTTTCTTCCAGCAGGAAACTAATAGAACGGGGCTTTGTTTTTCTAATCGGTAAAGGGTTATTTTTCGAGCAACTTGTCGACACGACACAAGATTTGTTTGTTTTTTTTTCTAGAAACCAGCCCTTCTTTTTCCATTTTGAATTGTTTTTTTGTATGTTTGTTTTTGTTTTTTGCTGCAAACCTGCAACTTTGGGAAATGATTTTGGAAGAGGATATACCTGTTAAAAGCTGCAGTGGTCCAGTGCCAACCTCTACACTTGCTGCATATAGAAACTTGTGAGAGGATAAATATCCAGTGTTGGAGAAAATCTAAAGAGACTTGGCTAAAATATCTTGTGTTGCCTTTAGTTCCTAGTGGCTGGGAGCAGCCAGGGAGTGGCTAGTTGACCACACACTGACAGACTGCTTACAGGAAAATTGTGCAAGGTTTTCAGCGGAAGAGAAAGCAAATTAGTGACTGTTTTTTTGCACTGCAGCATAAGCACGTAGCAACCTGCTTGGTGCGTCTTTTTTAGTTTTGCACTCAGTTTGGTCCTGATCCTGCTCCGGGTTTGATGGATGCTGGTTCACCCACTGGATATCCCTGGCTGTTTTTCTTGCTGCTGCTGCAGTGACTGAAGGACTTTGGAATTTGATATTTTATAGTTTTTGGGATTCCGTTGATACAGACATAGGCACTCTGATCGTTTTCTCTTGTCCAGTCCCCTAGTGGGCATTTATTTTTCCGGCAACCAAGCATCCCCATCTGCTTCTGTCTGGACACAGCCCTCATTCTTTCATTACAGCCTGCCCCGGACCCTCATGTGCTAACCCCTCCTAAATGGGGGATGAGGAGGAAGAAATATGATCCTCTGTTTTGTGGTGTGTTTAGGGCAGGAGCAACAGTGTGTGGTTTCCATGGAAAAGGCCAGAGAACTAATGGTACTGAGGGGCTGCATGAATGCTCTACCCCTATGTCTCTGGTCCAAGTGAATTTGAAGCCAGTTAGCGTAGCACTCCAAGCTCCGCCCTGGAACTCCTTGTTCAGACTCTTCTCATGTGTAGCCAAAAGGAGCGTGAACAGGACTGAAGGTGAAGGAGCTTTTAAAAGATAATGTACATGTGTGCAATCATTTGTGGAAACATTTACACCTTTTCTCCTCATTAGCTTGATGTTAGCTTTTGTACAACTCTCCTTCTAGCTGCAGCCAAGGTGTTGTAAAATGTCATAAATTCCTGTGCTCATTCCGGCTCTAGCTCCATTTGTGGCAGGTTGATTAATTGATGCTTTTTTACAGGGAGCTTGTGTCGCAAAAAGTGTATACATTGTATGTTGTGACAGAATGTATGTTGAATAGCTTGTGTGTGGGTGAGTACAGAAGACGCTTTAAGCAAGTGTTGCCTGCCTGCATTGTGAATTATAACTGGCGGTGTGTATTAACACTGCACAATGTGTGTGTGACCGAGAAAAGAGTGGGCTATGAGTTGAGAACAAAGAGTGGCATGTTTGTGTTGAAGGCCAGCTTGTTTTCTGTCTCCTGCTCTGCTCGTGCTCTCCTCATCTAGTTCCTATCTCTTAGCCCTTTTCCACTGCATGGTACAGCTTGGCCCTTCAAGGTATAGCAAAAGCAATAGGTGAAAAGCAAAACAAATAAGTAAAAGCAATTCTTTATTCATTTCCACTTTTTAAATTTTACTTATTTATTCCTGTTTATAGTTCCACAAATATTTTCTGGTTCTGTTACAGATTTATTTATATTTATATATATATATATCACTCCTATGACTCCATATCCATGTTCACTCCAAGAAAGCTCGAGAGAGCACCGAGTTTTAATATAATACAATCAGGGGCAACAATCAGAGCAAGGCAATTCTCCAATTACAATGTTTATGTGAGTTTACTAAAACTTTGATGTAATTATTCAAATGTCTTTTTAAGAACCAGATCCAGTCAAAAACAAAATCAAGGATTTTAATGTGCCCTGATGCTGTGAAAGTTTTGTTTAAAGTCGCAGCCCTGTATTTTCATTGTAAATTTTTATAAATTTGTTGTAATCTGCACAACAAAAATGCTTTATTATGTCAGTAAAATGGAAACTCTCCCATTCTATGAAAATGCTAATGATGAGTGTAGTGGCATTTACGTAATGACTTTTCATGTTTACATGGGCTTCACCTTACTTACAGTCACATGATTGAACTCTTCGTGTGCATGTAAACTTTCTTGAGTCTTAATAACTTATGGAATGTCATAGCGCTTCTTAAATCAGTGTTATGTCATCTATAGTACCAGTTCAAAGTTTGGACACACTTTCTCATTTAAGTGGATGGGAAGGTGTGTCCAAACGTTTGACTGGCGCTGTATGTCTTTTTTTTATTTTTTCCAACTACAAAACGACTCGGGAATAAGTGCACACTGTCTAGACAGTATACTTTGCCTGCAAGGTTTGCCTCCCGTGTTGTTTTTGTAAACGGTGTCTCATACTGCTGACTGTGTATGTGCTGAACACTGCGTGTTTATCACTTTAGAAGTGATATCTAGATCCTAAGACAGGTATTTTAGTTATATTGCAGGATAGGTGTTGTTTTTTCACTTTTGAAAATATTGACAATTTTTGTTTGTTCTCATATAGGTAATTTAAAGCACCATTATGCAACTATTTACCTTGAAATGACAACTTGAAAATCATTTTGATGGAAAATTAACTTGTAATGGGGAGAATGGTGCCTCTGTCATTCCCACACCACGCTCTGAACTCCTGTTGTTGCACTATGTAACTTGAGTTGAGCAGGTTTGATCTCTTGCGAGAAATGCGTAATGCTTTATACATTACATACCACCAATGGGCTTTCAGCTAGTTCGGTATTCTCCATATGGACATAATGGCAGAGGCTAAGAGACTAGCTCCTAGCATCTACGTTTTAGCACACAACTGCTCTGGGTTCAGATGTTTTCGGTCAATCAGCTTAGCAGAATGGCGACTTGAAATGAGTGGGCCGTGTTCTGTAATTATCACTTGTGGCTGTAGAGGCCGCAGTTGTCCCTACTCAGAAAAAGTTAGTGTTGCTTTAAGAGCTTGCAGCAACACAACACTGCTATTTTAAGCAGTAGCATGAATGACAGATATGCAATATGTTAAGGTCAGACTGAGGTCTTTTCGGGCTAATGTTTGGGCTTTTGGGTCTTTGGAGGCTTATGTGGTAAAGTGGACACACTGTATGTGCATCTGAGCTAAATCTATTGACTTCATACAAGAGTGAGTCCTGTAAAAGGTTTACCAAACTGTTGGTGAACAGATTTCAGTGAGCTGAGAGGGACTTTTGGAAAGGTTTTGCATCAGCATACTCTGATCCTGACTACAATAGTTCGGAGCCACTGACTTCAACACATGGGTGGAGCTTTATCTGTTTTATGAAATATGAATTAACAGTGCTGGGAAAATGGTGGAGCCAACAGACAGTACAGTAGGAATCAATGACTATAAAATAACTCATGCTAATGTCCACGGCATTAGCTGCACCTAAATACCTTGAATGAGCATTGTTCAGTCTGTGGAAGTGTACCAGCCCATCCTGGTCTTTAACAGCCTGTTAGCACTGTGGAGATGGCTGCCATAAACATTAGACTGTGTCATCTTGAAAATCAGATCAGCTTCATATGTGAACTGACTTGAGCATGTGTAATACTCACTGTCAGAAATGACAGAACCAGGCCATCACTCTAGCCAGTAAAGGAAGATATATGTGTACCTCTATGTATTTTGCTTCCTATGTGTTACTTCAGGGTTATTTGAGGGATTTGTAGCTTTGTTTCTCAAAGTCATGTTTGTTTACAGTCTGTCTTTTTTTTTCTCACTTTTCAGAGGTCCCCACATTTCAAGAGAAGACGAAAGCCTTATTTGGAAATCTTATGGACGAAGGTGAGTAAATATGTCTCTGCTAGTGTTTTTTTTTTCTCCGTCTTCACCTGTTTCTGTGTCCATCTTCAGCTGTTTTCTGTGACAGCCACAGCCTTCTCAGTAGACTGTTTCACATGTCTGTGTCTTGATCTCCTTTTTGTAGTCTTAGCTGTCAGTTGATTTGTTTCCTGTTTGAGGATTTGGAGCTCTGAGTTTCCTTCACTTAGGCAGCTCCGAGCACACGCTCTCTGAATCACAGAAGTGTCATTATGCGTCTGTCTGCTAATAACCATTTTGCCTCTTGTTAAAAAGTGCATACAGGACTCACTGTTAAACAGGAAATTGTTCATCCTTTCCGATTTACCTTTATGTTGCTCCTCCTGAACACAGGGCTGTGTGCTGAGTCATTGTTTGTGACTGCTCATCTTTGTGCCATCATCCTCCCCTCCACCTTCTTGACACACAGAAGTATGTGCTCATTTCTCTCTCTCTCTCTCTCTCTCTCTCTGTCTCTCTCTCTCTCTCTCTCTCTCTCTGTCTCTCTGTCTCTCTGTTTTGAGCTGACTCACTCCCTCTGTCTCTTCAAGCCCTCTGAGCCCATGTTACCAGATTTGACTGACAATCACAGCCTTGATGCTGCCCAGTCATTGTATCATTAGTCCAGTTTTTTATTTTCGTGTAGTTTGTTTTCTGCAAAGTGCTATGGACATTAGTCTTCACTTATATCAACAGATAAAACTTTTACAGGGAACAGGAAGTATTATTGCTATGGTTGCCATGGATTCAGTTACTCTGGGGGCTACAAAAAGCTCTGTTTTCTTTTTCCTTTTGTTTTTTAGCCCATAATTAGTCATTAACAGCTCCCTTTTGCTATGTGCCACTGGTTGTACTGTTAACCAACAATGATGCTGAAGAAAACATAAAGATCAGGCAATTTATGTAGTTATAAGGACCATCTTTTTTTCTGTGATTTCTCTAAGTTAGTTTATTTGTGATGGATGATATCCTCTGAAAGTGTAAGTTACACTGACTCTAAAATATGTGTGTCTGTCTGTCTGTCTGTGTTCAGATGTGACTGAGTTATTACTATGATTTTATTATTTTTACAGTTGCAGTCAGGGACTGAGAGTTTTAAGGTAGCCGTGTCATGTTGTTTTGCAGGTCAAACTACAATAAGTAACTCATGTTGTTTTTTTTTAAGAAAACCTGCATGCACCTGTCCCTTTCACCTCACACAGCATCTCTGCCTCACTTCTCTCCCTCTATGCCTTTTCCACAAAGCTCCTGTGCCTCCCTTATAGTTCAAACCTCTGCAATATAGCTGGAACTCTTAATCACTGGAAACCTTCCTAATGGTATAAAAAAGTAACCTAAATTGTAGCAGCCCACCCAAATTGATTCTTTAACTGGACAGGTAAGAAAACATTGCCAAGTGGGCTGAGAAAACTGCAGAGTCTGGCAGCACTGCCTTTGTTGCACCTTTTTTGTTAGATGTAGAATTTTGTTATAAACGCTCTCATCCCTAATGAGCTGCCAGTCGTCTGCAGTGTCCACATTATAAGAAGTAAGACACAGAAGCCTATAAACTTAAAATTCAGCCTGCAAAATCCATTTCTAAGCCCCCTGCTGACAACAAAAGGGTGCTGGGCATTGCTTATCTGTACTCGAGTGTCACTTGTTAGCCCCCATGTGCCAGCTGAACAAGTGATACTATGTTTATCCTCCCACACACTCTCTTCAACTGGGCATGTTGCTACTTGTTGTAGCCTTACTTGCTGCCAACTAGCTATTGGACCTGCTGTTAGATAGGCAGATGGACAGACTTTTGTAAGAGGGAAAGTTTATACCATAGATGTGATGAAGAAAATTATGTCTTTCTTAAAATATAGCCATTCTACCATAACCTGTGTATCCATGTTGGTGACATTTTTGGTCCTAAATTTCAAGAGCATGGGTATTGCTCGGCCAATCAGAAACAATATCTTAATCACATCAGTCACAACGGAGCTGTTTTTTTTTTTTTTTTTTTTTCCCCCAAAGATTGCTGCGCGCCAATGAAAAGCAGTGCGCGATGATGTCCTGCCAGAATTCAAATCATAAGTTGACTATATGTCATGATCCCTAAATAGATGACACACTTCTGGCTGAATTAAAACAATACATTTTCATACAGTCCTACTGGGACCTGGTTTGGCAAGTCTTCTCAGCTCTAAGACTATAAAACTTGCCCCCTTTCCTGGCCTCCTGGTTGAGGTCCAGTGTTGATCTATTTCAGTAAAGTATGTTTAGCCATACATTAGTTCTGCTTATGGAGCTGCAGTCAGTCTTCTTCATGTTATATTTTATATAATGTTAGTCCATTAGTCATTACTGTGCACCAGCATCGTACGGAGGCTGTTTTTCATCTGAAATGAGGAAATGGGTCTCTTTGTATGATTTGGTTTTTATCATGGTTACAGTTAGTCTAGCTTGGCAGATTGACACTTGGAAATTTCTAACTGACTTTCATTGACATTTGCCGTCTCCAGCGGTCACGCATATCATAAGATGGAACTGTGGTGTTACATTTATTTGACAGTACCAATCAGCCACACCCAAATAACGTCCTCTCTCTCTCACACACGTAGGAACACATTGCTGGCAGATAGCCTCCACTCTTGTGATAAGTTGGTGTGTCCTTATCAAGGCTTTTTTAAGCAAAGGGAAAATGCTTTGCACTGACTCCATATATAGTGCATGGTATGGGTCAGTTGTGTTCGTCTGAGTTGTGCTGGCTTTGTCAGTGTGAACTGAACAGAGGCAAAGGTTAAACTTATTCAGTTAATGTTGATGGTACAGTTAGAGAAGTTTGTGCTTTTACAAAGTAAGTTATTGAGCTTGATTTATTAAAAAAAAAAAAAAATCTACAAAAATGCTGTGAGAGTTTGCAACTTGGATGTGTCCTATACAACTAAGGAAACATGTTGAAATATATTTTTATACAGATACCATACATTTAGATATACATATTTTTATACATGTTTCATAAAGCTGCCAATCTTCAGCAAATGACTCTATCCCTGCAATTATGACCATAACATTGTCTTCAAGCTAGATTAGCCAAGCTATTGACTGCCTGTTTGAAGCTACCGTATGTTAGATATTCCAGTGTCACATGCTAGCCGACTGTGACCCTGGCCTTGGACCAGCTGAATGTCCTGAGCTAATTTGGTCCCACTGCTCTTAGTGCTGCTGCTAGCATGCTAGCCAGCTAAGAAGATCTATTAATAGCTGCTAAGACAGCAGATGTGTTTAAGGCAGGCAGGCGCAGGGACAGCAAGCTAATAGTCTCTCATCAGATCCAGTTTGTACCTCTGCTGTTGGCATGAGTGTGCATGTGCATATGCAGAGAAGCTTTACCCGAGCAGCCCTGCCTGCTGGTAATGCTGCCAGCAACCAAGCTAGACGCAACAGGGAATGATTATGATTATGATGTAGATAAAAGCATCACACTTAGTATTTATGGTTATTGGATGACTGTAAAACCATCTGGGAATGGTCAAAATGTCAGGAAATCACAAATCACTGAAAGACTTTCTTTGTAGGCCCATTGGAACTAGATATTGGCTTTTAAATTCTGTTTTCATGAAGCACAGTTGATCAGTTTTATTTCTTTACAGATGTTTTTAAAAAGCTGGCTGTTGTTAGTGGGTAACTATCAATGAATCCTCATCAAAAAATGGGTTAAGAAGAAAACTAATCAAACATCCCAATACAAATACCAATACTAACATTTTTTGTAGAAAAAGGATTCAGAAGACCACCCATGATGGTCTATGACTCCCAACAAGTAATTTCTATTTAACACCTTTTTTAATAGTTAGATTAACTGCTACGTTAGGCAAATTGAGCAGCCGTGACCAGAGCTTTGGCAGCACTTTGCTGGTGGGTGTTAATTCCCCAGCTGTTGTACTGTCTGTCTACATACTGCTGCACTATCTCACCACCTGATTCTCCTCTCTTGTCTTCACCTCCCACACATACTATCCTCCCCTCTCTTCACATTCTCTCCTCGCTGCTCTGGGTCTCCCTGTGCTGCGTCTGTCTGTGGGTAGGGCTATAAAAAGGATGAACTATGCGGGGTAGCAGAGGAGGTGGAGACATGGGCATGCACAATCATCCCACCCAAACCCCTGTACTGCCCAGAAAAGAGCTGACGTTAGAAACATCTTCCTTACCTTCCCCTTCTTCCCCCTTTTATCAATCTCCACACTCGATTGTCCTGTTTGGTTTAAAGTTTCTTTTTTTTAAGGCCACACAGATTGCATATTGTCTGTCCACACCTCCTATGTACTTGCCCTACTTGATTCTTAACTTTGCTGTCTCACTCCTCCTCTCCCCCTGCTCTCCCTCCCTTCTTGTATCATCTCCTCCACCCTCCCTTCATCTCCTGTGGCTCTCCCCCTGCCTCTCTTCGACACATACCTTTTTCCCTGCCCGTCATTTTTACTGGCCTCTACTCTACCCTCTCTTTTTCTTTGCTCCACAGGCCATACCATACTTAATCACAAAACTGTTACCAAGGCAACTGCACAGCACGATAGGAAACAGCAGCTCCACACACACACACACACACACACACACACACACACACACACACACACACACACACACACACACACACACACACCACATCTGAGTTCACTTTACTGTCTGGTTGTTCTTTTTTTATATATGTGACTAAGAAAATCTGTACAGCTCAGACTTGGTGCTTGGACCTTGAAGAGATATGTTGTAGATGGTGGGTGACAGAGAGAGTGCTGATGTGTTGTATGCTCATTTGTCATACACAGTGGTTTTTTTGTTTGTTTTTTTTTTAAAGCAAAGATACTGTAAGGTTTCTGTCTGCTTGTTGCTGCCAGCCATAGAGAGATAATATGTCCCCCTAAAGAAATCTAAATGTACTGCCAAAGACAGCAGTCTAAATGATTTGAAGCACAAATGTACTGCGGTTGCAAACATGTAGCCTGCAGCAGTCACACAGAATGTGGAAGTGTGGCAGGATGACTAGTTTTCATAGTTTGAGACAAGTGGGTAACCACACTGATTGTTTCTATATGTCAGTTCAGTTGTTTGGTATTCCATGATAATTGATTTGACATTTATGTAAACCAATACATCTTAGAGCAGTGACTGCCAATGCAGTTAAAAGTGTTTATTATTGATGGTTAAATGTGCAATATGATAAACATGCTGTGCAGTGTGTTGTGGCTCTGCTTGACATTGAAAGCTGTGAGAACTGTAAAGAATGGTGGATATCACAGATGGGATGAGCATGGAGAGGCTCTGCATGTAAGCTGAACAGTGTGACTGGTGAAAAAATGAGGATGATGGAAGTTACATTTCCCACATTTGTTCAACCTGAGGCGGATTAAGAGGCTGTTGCAGCCTGAAACACCCCTCTCTAACCTAAAGATGATGAAGAAAGCTTGCTTATGTGGTAATCTCATAGATTTTGCTTTGGTTAGTGTGTGTGGTAGCTCTGTGTTTGGTTTCTCCCCATTCCTGAGGGCAATATGTGGCTCTAGTCTCTGACTGTCTGCCGTTTGGTGCTGAGCAGGGAGTGTCCAGTGGGTTTTTGACGTTATGAGAGCAGTGAGGGTGAAACAGAAGAGTAAATTTACAGGCTGAACAGATAAACAATTATGTAAAACTCGCTATAAAGCTGAAGGGAGCTGCAGATTTGGGTGATATTCTCTGTAGTTTCATCAGCTTTAACATTGCCACATTGTTGTCACATTGTCACTGGATACATGGCTATTGTAAAATGTCAGTTATAGCTGCTTCAAAGTTTTTGGTAGCTCTGTAATTACAGGAAAATGCACTATGCATCAGGACATATGACAGATAAGATTTGGTGCCACATAGGCCTTCTATATGCACTCAGCAGTCTCAGCCTGCCTATCATGATTATCTCTCTTCCCACATCTCTTCAGTGGATTGCCCTTCGGCTTTGATGTAGAGGTGTCAGAAATATCCAACTAGAAACATGTGTCACAGCTCATAAATGTGTGCGTAAAGAAGCATTACAAGGAGAGGTCTGGACAATTGGCCAAATTAATTTCTGATACAAAAACTTTGTATCCGTGCAACTGCGCAGTTGGATCTGCTGAAAACTTTATCACAACAACACCTCTCTCTCTCTCTCTCTCTCGCTACCAGAAATGAGTCGCCAGACTGCCACCGCGCTGCCCACAGGAACCTCTAAGTGCCCACCCTCCCAGCGCGTGCCCACCCTGTCAGGCACCACAGCCTCCAACAGTGACCTGGCCAGCCTGTTCGAGTGCCCTGTCTGCTTTGACTATGTCCTACCACCTATCCTGCAGTGCCAGTCTGGACACCTGGTACGTACAGTCCAGCCTGGAAAGTAACCAGAGCCAGTTGTTGTATGCAATACATCTTAGATGTCATTCAGAGTATCTAATTTGCATTATTTTTTTAAAGTCTGTGTGTATAAAGTGAAAGGACATTGTGAATTTATCAGCATTGTACCCAAGTTTCCCCCTGGAAAAGAAACGTCTTGTTGCTCAGCTAATTTCAATGTTTAAGGAGTCTTTAAATCTAGAGTTCGTTGTTATCATTATTTTTCACCTTTTAGCTGTTTTCCATTTTGTTAAAGAAATTGTTACCATGGTTTTTGAAGACCAAAATAATTCCCTGTCGGACTGCATGCAAGTTCAGCGAGATCCTGTACGCCAGAATGTTTGTAGTACTACAACTATCAGTATGTTTGTGCTTTGCACAGCTATATATCACATAAACTAATATTTAAGAGCTGATGTTTATTATCATGATAATGCACAATATAATCTTTAAGACTGGAGTGCTAAAAGAAATTGTTGGAACACAAAGATGCTCCCTTTCAGTTCAGACCCATTCACTTTTTTTCTCTTTTTTTTTATGCTTGAAAAAAAAAAAAACATTCCTCATCAGTCTACACTCATTATCCCATAATGACAAATTACTGACCAAACTGTGAGAAGGGCCTTGGTAAGAGAGTTGACAAAGATCCCGATGGTCACTCTGGCCTAGCTCCAGAGATCCTGTGTGGACATGGGAGAAACTTCCATTGCATTGGCCATTCTCCCCATTTGCTCACAGTGGCCAGGCAGCCAGCTCTAGGAAGACTCCTGGTTGTTCCACACATCTTCCATGTAAGAATAATGGAGGCCACTGTGCTTTCTCTCTTCAATGCTGCAGATTTTTTTTTTGTGGCCATCCCTGGATCAGTCCCTCGACACGATCCTGTCTGAAAATGTGAAAAGAGTGAATGGGTCTGAACACTTCACCACTCACTCACTGTAAGCTGAGCACTTTAACAGCCATATAGAAGAATCAATATCAAATGTTTTCATGACACTACAGCTGCCGAATGAATGGGCTAATATTGATCTGACGTTTGACTCATGATTTGATGAGTGTAACTTAGGCAAATGTTCAAGTTAAAGGCAGTTGTGTTTTGGAAATGTGTGTTTCCTTTACTGAGCTCTGCCATGTTTCATAAATATTAGCCAGTAAGATTACAGAAGATGAAAAAGAGATTCCAACAGCTACAACTAAGAGACTAACACCCCATGGCGAAAACACTAAGTTGTATTATTTGTCTCTGCCCAGGTATGCTCCAACTGCCGGCCCAAGCTCACCTGCTGCCCCACCTGCCGAGGCCCCCTGGGCTCCATCAGGAACCTGGCCATGGAGAAGGTGGCTAACTCTGTACTCTTCCCCTGCAAGTACGCCTCATCGGGCTGTGAAGTCACCCTGCCTCACACCGACAAGACGGAGCATGAAGAGCTGTGCGAGTTTCGGCCGTACTCCTGCCCCTGCCCCGGCGCCTCCTGCAAGTGGCAGGGTTCCCTGGACGCTGTCATGCCTCACCTGATGCACCAGCACAAGTCCATCACCACACTGCAGGTAAGACAGTGACTCTGGTCCTCAGTTCAGTGAACAAAGTAGTCTTAATGTATTTCTACCGTAGTTGTTTTGGGCCTTTATCTGCCTGGTTTAACATAATTATATTTAAAACTTGCTTCATTAAATGTATATGCAGTTAATTTAGTTATCTATAAAATATAAATTATAACTCCCTTAACATTTACTAGTTCCCACCCTTACTGACCACAAGTGTACCGGATATCAGGTTGATATGTTATTGTGGTATTACAGTTTTAGGGGGCATTTAGTAAGCAGTGTACCAAGGAAACCTTTTATATTGCAAGCCTAAAACCTCTCCAGAATGACAAAATGTGCTTCCCTATATTTATTTTTTTATTTATTCATTTATTTTAACACCTAATCTCTTGGTTTTAATTAAGTATTGACAATGGCAAATGAGGGAATTTCAGTCTGGTACTTGAGTGGAGTCTGAAACCTATCCAAACCCTTCATATAGCAATATAAAGCAATATTAGCAGTCTTTAAAAGACTTAAACTATTACACTAGCATGGTTGAAAGGTCTGCCGCAGGTCTGCCTGCTCTGGCCCTCTGTAGGTCATGCCTGTGAAGCAGACATCACACACATTACAGGACCTGTACTTGAAGATGGCTCAGTTTTTCTTCATCAGGGCAGAGAACACAACACTTCCCGCCGGCTGTTGTCTTGTCCAGACAATCTGAGGAGCCTACATCAGTTACAGACTCAGGAAAACATCCATCAGGCCTCTTTTTAGCAGCAACTGCCAGTGGCACATGAATGACACAGCAAATTCAGTCACAGTGCAGCTTCATAACCAACTCAAGAAATCACACTGGTAAATGTCAGTAATGTCAAATAAATACAAGCACTTTACATATGCACTGTGAGACCATCCTACTCTATATTTGGTGCTATCCACAAAAGAGTCGGTGTTCCTGGTATCACAGCCTCAGTCACTCACCACCTCAGTCACTTGTAATATCCTCCTCCAACACAAACCCAACATTACTGTGAAGTTGTTTTTATTGAACAAACATGTTTTTCTCTGAAGGTAGATGCCTGTAGTGGCTCCAAAAAGTCTTTCTCATACATTTCTAAAGTTTTTAGAGATTTCTCATTATGTAACCTTAAGAAACCTGTGTAACTTTTCTGTCTCTGTCCAGGGGGAGGACATTGTGTTCCTGGCCACGGACATCAACCTGCCTGGCGCGGTGGACTGGGTAATGATGCAGTCCTGCTTCGGCTTCCACTTCATGCTGGTGTTGGAGAAGCAGGAGAAGTACGACGGCCACCAGCAGTTCTTCGCCATCGTGCAGCTCATCGGTACTCGCAAGCAGGCCGAGAACTTCGCCTACCGACTGGAGCTCAACGGGCACCGGCGCCGCCTGACCTGGGAGGCCACGCCACGCTCCATCCACGAGGGCATCGCGACGGCCATCATGAACAGCGACTGCCTGGTGTTCGACACGTCCATCGCACAGCTGTTCGCCGAGAATGGCAACCTGGGCATCAACGTCACCATCTCCATGTGCTAAGAACTTTGAAGAAAGAGGGTCAAAAAGTTACAGATTGTCAGGGGGCATTTTTTAGGGGGTCAAATCAGTTGTGACCTCACAGCGCCCCCCTCTCTGCCTCACCCCTAGAGACGTGGAACTGGACTGTCTGATCGGGCAGCCGTGGAGGCCCAGGGGGTGGGTGGGATGGATGGATGGATGAATGAATGGATGGATGAATGAATGGATGAATGTATGGTATGAATAAACACAAGGACATAACTGTGTAGTGATGGCTATAGACTTCTAAACACACACATATAAATATATATGTGAGACTCGTGCACGCACATGCAGTCTCATCCTCTCTTGGTCATAAACACGGACACAAACTGAGAAGCTGTTCAGTCAAACTTGCCTGTCAAACACTCGTTTCTTGGTCACGTCTCTCTCTTGGAGTGATTTCCCGCCACTCTTATTTTAGTGTCTCTCTTTCTTCTCCTCCCCTCAGTCATCCTCAGACATTTCAGACACTACAGCTCTCCGGCCTTTGCTCCGAGACGCTGGAGGCTGGTCACCGCTGAGCAGCTCTGTGCCGTGACAGCTACACAACGAGGAAGGCTCAAGCTATATTTCAACACGGACTCCTGGTCAGTGCTAGGTAGCTAGCCAGCTATCTATCTTTCCCCTCTGTTTGTAATCCACCTCAGTACCTGTCAGACCTCCTGGATCAAACGGTTCACACATTACCGACACTTGTAGGGCTAGGACCGTGGCTGTGGCTGGTATTGACTTGCTCAAACTGGAACCCAGAGTCCATGAAAACTTCCTTATCACAGATTTGGATATTTATTTTCACCTGTGACTGACATGGATGTGGATAGCTGGGACTGGAACCGTCACCCATAGGCATGGATGGCTGTAGCACCCATAACAACCCAGTTTTGCCCAGGACTGGAACCTCTGATCTGCATTAGGGTTCCATGGATGTCCATCTACATCTGCGATGTAAAACATCCACACAGGCTCATCTGGTTTCCTCCCAGTCCACACTGGTCCACCCCAAGGCTAAAGATTGTGCATCGGACGCTCTTTAAATAGTTGACTGTCATTGTTGATAGTTATTAGACTCTGCTCTCATACTGTATGGATTTAAGAAGGCCCTCAGCTACATCAGCTCTGGATTTTTTTAATTTTTATTTTCATGGAGTGGACACAACAGTGGCGTTCTGACACACACACACTTTCAGTCTTTGCATTACAGGCTGTGTGTGCAGGTGTAATAGTGGATGAATTGAGTGTGTGTCGGCGCATCTTTGACCGAGGAACAGAGGATGTCGTCGTTTTGTTTTTTTTGTTTTGTTTGTTTTTCATGAGGAAAAAAAACACTGCATTTCAGTTGATTCAAAGTTTTCTTTTTGAGTTTATTCTTAAGTCTTGTTTCGTTTTAATTTTTTTTATTTTCTTTTTTTTTTTGTGTGGGAGGAGAGACTATGCGTGTGTGTGTGTGTGTGTGTGTGTGTGTGTGTGTGTGTGTGTGTGTGAGAGAGAGAGAGAGAGTGCGCGCATGTGTTTGTGAGAGATGGACATTTGGCAAGAAACCTGCTCTTTTACTCCTTTTCCTCTCTCCCCTGCTATTCTTTCATTTCTCCTCTGCCTCCTTCTCGCTCTGTCTGCCAGCGTCGGCCTCAACCACTGACTGACTGATCACCCAACTAGGAATGAGGGACAGTTTCTACCGTTATAATGTTGCTATTGTTATTATTAAATGGAGATTATCATAATTATCATTTTTTGTAATGACTTTTAAAAACAAACGTTAAAAGGCAGTTGTAAAACTTGTGGCTCAATGTCAGTGTTTGTAGTTAAAAAGCAAGTTGTGTCGTTCTTCTGAAGGTTTTTTTTTTGTTTTTTTTTATTTTTCCCCCCCAGAGTTGAATTGTTTTTTCCCCATCTGTTTGTCTCTCTGTCCTTTTGTTTGTGTGGTAAGTCTTTTCTTTTATTTCCTTTTTTTTGTCTGTGAGGAGGGAGGGAGGTCAAGCCAATCATCTCTCCCTTTCTCTTCATGTGGAGTCTCAGTAATGTTGCTGCTCTCCCTCAACTCCTTGACTTTTTTCTGTTTTAATTTGTCATTAAATAAATCTATCTTTTTCATACCTGGTGTCTTTTCTTCATTTCTTTTATTGTAGGCCTCAGAACCTGATTGTGGCTGTGTTTCTTTTCTTTTTTTTTAAATTCAGCACTGAGGAGCGCCAGTTGACAGACGGTGGTGGAAACGCACAAAACGTCCCAGTGCGCTTACAAAGGCAGCGAAGAGGCCAACAGGTTCATTGAAAGCTCTCATTGATGTTCTGGATTGTCAGTCCTGCGCGTTTAATACATGAAGTGTTCTCGACAAAAACAATCTCACCATAAATCAATTTAGTAGTGTTTAAGGAGCTTTCAGTCCATATCACGTGATATTCCTAAGGAGATAGAGTGTGCCCAGTGGTCATAGCATTCTAGATTGAATTTGCCTTTCTCTTCTGAGCGCTTAAAGTAAAGCTCCACCTACACTTCTGATACAATCAAAGGCTCAACAGCTCAATGAAATTGTGATTTCACATTGTTGACACTAGTTGATTTGTGACCACATTTCTAGAGTATGTCTTGGTAGTAATAATAATGATAGTAGTCATAGTAATTTTCTTTGCAAGGTTACTAAGTGCTTTCTAAGGAATAGTAGAGCAAATGCAAATTAAAACAATAAAATGCTGTAAAAAGTTGATTAAAAGTGCCAAAAGTGGACAGATGAAACCAGATTAAATGCTGATTGTACATTGAAGCTTTGAAGTGATTTAAAAGATGTTACAGATGTAGTCTGAGTGCTTCATGTCAAAGGCCTTGGTCAGTGAGATATTTAGATCATTAATTGCTTGAAAGTAAGATGTTAAAATCAAAGCAGAATGTAACAGGGAACCAGTGTACAAATTAAAGGAAAAACCAACATCAAGTGTGCTGTCTAATACGTTGGTCCAAAATCTCCCATAGGTGTCAAGTTGGGTTGAGATCTTGGAACTGTGAAGGCCATAATATATCATCCTGTTTCTCTCACATTTTTCAGGTTTTTCTTTTAATTTATGTTTTGTTTGTACAGTTACTGAATGAAAATTGTTGTGGATTTTTCACCTACCTCCCCCCACACTCAGGTCAAAGGTCAGGATTAGCTCCAGAACAGGTCAACAACAGAGAGGATTCTATTGTATGAACAAATTGTAGCACAGCAATGTGTCTGATCTTGCAAGAGATTATTTTGCTGATTATTGGGACCAGGAAGTTGCTTGTTTAAGGCCCAGCCAGAGGGAATCTGAATGGTAGGGCAAACTGTACTTCCAGCAGGTAATGGTGGTTAATGCCCCACTGTGCTGGGCAGCCCCCAGGTGTGAAAAGGTTCATCTTTTTTACTGCATTAAGAGAAAAACGTACATCTCAGCAAATCCTTGGCTAAATATATTTACACTGCTAATTCACATTTCAAGGCCATTTATCATGGAATACATGCACTATTTCAGTTTCCTACCAAGGTCAAATAAGCACCTCAATACTCCAGTCAAACTAACTAAATTCAAACTATTTGATGTTGAAATGACACTTGATTTATTTTCCTGCATTAACAAGTATAGTGTAGCCTAAATCAGTATATGGTAATAGACAGGGAGCTTTTTCTTTTAAGAAATTTACTGAGAGAACTGGCATGTGCAAAATAAAAAAAAAATAAAAAACAAACTTTCAGCTGTAAAATGCCTCCCATTGATATTGTCCTCAAAGCATGTGTCTGCCTCCCAAATTTGTCATTGTTAAGTAGGTCTGTGGATGTAGGGCATTCTCTGAGGTCAGATAGGTGGATCAGACAGACAGCATGGAACACAGAAATAGTTTTGTGCAGCTGCAGGAGTGTAAGCTATTCACTTAAGATCAGGGTAACACTGGGTAAAATGTGTGTGCAGAGACATCATTGCCTTTGACCAGTAGGGAAATAGTATAGTATGGCATGAAAAGTCAAAGTATAGTAAGACATGAAAATGTCATAGTATAGTGAGGCATAAAAAGTCATAGAATATTACGGCGTAAAAAGTCATAGTGTAGTAAGGCATAAAAAAACATAATAGTGGCATGACAATTCATAGTGTAGTATAATAAGGCATGAAAAGTCATAAAAACGTCATAGTATATTAAGGTATAAAAAAAATTATAAAAACGACATAGTACAGTAGGGCATAAAAAATCACAAAAACAACATAGTATAGTGAGGTATAAAAACAACATGGTATAGTAAGGCATTAAAAGTAAAAAAATTCGTCATACTATAGTAAGACATAAAAAGTTAAATAAAAGACAGTATAGTAAGGCATAAAAAGTCATAAAAACGTCATAGTATAGTAAGGCATGAAAAATCATAAAAACGTCATAGTATAGTAAGGCATAAAAAGTGATGAAAACGTCATATTATAGTAAGGCATAAAAAGTCATAGTATAGTAAGGCATAAAAAGTTATAAAAAAAGTCATAGTATAGTAGGGCATAAAAAGTCGTAAAAAATCATAGTATAGTAAGGCAAAAAAAAGTCATAAAAATGACATAGTGTAGTAAAGCATAAAATGTCATAGTAATGTAATGCATAAAAAGTCATAAAAACGTCATAGTATAGTAAGGCATAAAAAGTTATAAAAAGGTCATAGTATAGTAAGGCATGAAAAGTCATAGTATAGTAAGGCATAAAAAGTTATAAAAAAAGTCATAGTATAGTTAGGCATAAAAAGGTCATAGTATAGTTGGGCATAAAAAGTCATAAAAAGGTCATAGGATAGTTAGGCATAAAAAGTCATAAAAAGGTCATAGTAAAATAACGCATAAAAAGTCATAAAAACAACATAGTATAGTAAGGCATAAAAAGTCATAAAAACTTCATAGTATAGTAAGGCATAAAAAATCATAGTATAGTAAGGCAAAAAAAGTCATAAAAATGACAGTATAGTAAGGCATAAAAAGTCATAGTATAGTAATGCATAAAAAGTCATAAAAACGTCATAGTATAGTAAAGCATAAAAAGTCATAAAAACGTCATAGTATATTAAGGCATAAAAAGTCATAAAAAGGTCATTGTATAGTTAGGCATAAAATGTCATAGGATAGTAAGGAATAAAAACGTAATAAAAACGTCATAATATAGTAAGGCATAAAAAGTCATAAAAAAGTCATAGTGTAGTAAGGCATTAAAAGTCAAAAACGACATAGTATAGTAAGGCAAAAAAAGTCATAAAAACGAAATAGTATAGTAAGGCATAAAAAGTCATAAAAACGTCATAGTATAGTAAGGCAAAAAAAAGTCATAAAAACGACATAGTATATTAAGGCATAAAAAGTCATAAAAACGTCATAGTATATTAAGGCATAAAAAGTCATAAAAACGTCATAGTATAGTAAGTCATAAAAATGTCATAGTATATTAATGCATAAAAAGTTATAAAAACGTCATAGTATAGTAAGGCATAAAAAGTCATAAAAACTTCATAGTATAGTAAGGCATAAAAAGTCATAGTATAGTAAGGCATAAAAAGTTATAAAGAAGTCATAGTATAGTAAGGCATAAAAAGTCATGAAAACGACAGTATAGTAAGGCATAAAAAGTCATTAAAACGACATAGTATAGTAAGGCAT